GGATCCGGCCCGCGGGCCGTAGTTTGCCCACGGCTGATATAGACTCACAGCTATAAGGTGAACTAAATCCTTCCTCTTTGGGGCCTAGCCCATTAGTGCTCATTAAGTTCTTATTTTCTTATTATGTAAGTTTATAGTCCTTGTTGTATCCATCCCATAATCTGGTTTTCCTGCTGTCTAAAATAACCACTCCAATAAAAGTCCAATTTCTATTATCTTTTCGTTTTCCATCCAGGTAGCAAAATCCAATCTATCTAAAATTCAAATATAAATATGTATTTATTGCCAGTTTCCTCTCTCATTTTCACTATATCAATATTTTTTAAAAGAGAGTGAATATACATATATCTACATACATACGTGTATGCATGCAAATTATTTAATCTTGAGAAACCAAAAACTGAAATGCAACATAAGGTATATGTCTGTAAGCCCCACTCACAAAAAAATGTAAGATTCATAAGATATTTTCCATTTTTTCCCAGTATTAGAACATTACAGAGATGATAACCTGATCAAGAGGAACAAGAAAATAAAAGACAAACATTTGCAGCAAATAACACTGATCAATAATAAGCCTTTGACTAGAAAAGAAGAGGAAATTTGGGGAAAACCATTTAATATACACATAGCTCCTGTTTTTTCAACAAAAATGTCCTGTAAATATGTCTCATGGGGAGTGAATTTGCAAAATATTTCTCAATATGTCATTAATAGAACCTATTCAACGACAAAAACAGGTTGCTGTAGTGTCTGTGAAAATGTGCCTTTCAAACTTAACTTTGAGAGAACTCATACTGGAGATAAATTTATTGAATGTAATAAAAATGGGAAAGCCCCTCATTTAGAAAGAAAATTTTCTTGAGCATCCAAAGTGTCAAATTTTGGAGCAAGGTTCTGAATATAATTCTGAAAAATTCCATGATGAGGCTGCCTTTGTTACATACAAGAGTATTCACACAGGAGAAAAGTCCTGTAAAGATGATGGATGTAGCAAAAATTGTGATAAAACTCTTTGATCAAAAAAGCACTGGAACAGGAGAGAAATACTCTAATCTTAAGCAGTGTGGGAAATCCTTCTGTGAGAAGTCAGCTGTCATGGAACACCATAAAGTTAACGTGGCTGTGAAACACTATGTATATAATGCCAGTGAGAATAATTTCAACAGGAATTCACATCTCACTCAGTCTCAGAGAATTGCCACAGAAGAGAATGCATTGGTATATAATGATAAAACACAAACTGGGGATAAATTCTTTCAATATCATGAAAATAGAAAATCCTACCTGATGTCAGCCCACAAAGTACGCCAAAGAACTCACTCCAACATAAAATCCTATAAATGTAATGAATGTGGGAAATCCTTCTGTCAAAAAGGACATCTCATTCAACACCAGAGAACCCACACAGGAGAGAAACCATTTGAATGTAATGAGTGTGGAAAAACTTTCTCCCAGAAGTCTCATCTCAGTACACATCAGAGAATTCACACAGCAGAGAAACCCTATAAGTGTAATGAATGTGGGAAAACATTTGTCCAGAAATCAACCCTCAGAGGACATCAGAGAATTCATACAGGAGAGAAGCCCTATGAATGTAGTGAGTGTGGGAAAACTTTTGTTCAAAAGTCAACCCTCAGAGACCATCATAGAATTCACACAGGGGAGAAATCATTTCGATGTAATGAATGTGGTAAAACTTTTGGCCAGAAGTCAAACCTCAGGATACATCAGAGAATTCATGGTGGTGAGAAAACTTATCAATGTAATGAATGTGAAAAATCTTTCTGGCGAAAAGACCATCTCATTCAACATCAGAAAACACACACAGGAGAGAAACCATTTAATTGTAATGAATGTGGGAAAACTTTTGCCCGGACATCAACCCTCCGTGTTCATCAGAGAATTCACACTGGGGAAAAACCATTTAAATGTAATGAATGTGGGAAAAAATTTGTCCAGAAGGCAATCCTTAGTGATCATCATAGAATTCACACAGGGGAGAAACCCTTTCAATGTAATAAATGTGGGAAAACTTTTGGCCAGAAATCATACCTCAGAATACATCAGAGAACTCACAGCGGGAGAAGTCTTATAAATGTAATGAATATGAAAAATTGTATAAGAAGTCAACCCTAAATGTAGGCCACAGAATTCAGGGAGGGAGAAAACCCTATTGATATAGCAACTAAGGAAAATCCTTCTGGCTAAAGACCAACCCATTTGACAGTAGAAAATTCACATAGAATGAAAACCATATAAATATGAATGTAGGAAGAATTTTGTCCAACAGGTAACCCTGAGAGTATATCAGAGAATTCACACAAGCTACTATGGAGAAAGCCCTTTTGAATGCAGTCATGCCCTATTAGAACTCTCACAATAACACAGGCTGGTAATCTGTTCCCTAGTAAGAATTTCATTTTTTCCTCTAGGCACATAGCTAATCTAAATTTCCCAGTCTCCCCTTCATCTAAGTGGGACTTTGTGACTGGCTAGTGGAATGTGGATGCTCATGTTGTATGCCACATCCAGTTCTGACAAAATACTTCCCCAACAAGTGACCAGGCTGCTGTAAGGGTAACATGGAGATGACTTCCAGGCCAGCCTGGTATGCTGTGGATTAACATGGCATGGAACAAGATGAAAGCCAGGGTGCCTGAAATATGTGGAACCAAATTTTCTTCCACATCTTTCCTTTTGAAGATTTTGTGAGCAAGACTTGGGCTTGTATTCTGTCGAGCACTTATTTGTGCAGGTCTGTTTCTGCACATAACTTAACCATCCCAATGCTGGAGAGCAGAATACTACTGCGTAAGCCAAGCTTACATCAGCCAGTGGGTACAGACCTTATTAGAGAGTTGATATGTGAAGGGGTCCTTCAAAGATCATCAGAGAATTCATACAAAAGACATCCTCTCAGTATCATGAGGTAAGATCATACCACCTGATACTGGGCTTTGGATGAATCAAAAAAGTTGGAAGATCTTAAAAATTAGATGAATGGTGAGCAGCTATCATGTAGCTAAAGTAAACCTGGCTTGTTTAACAGAATGAAGCCACTCTCCCTCCACACCTCCTGGCACTTTGCTCTACCCAAACCTCAGGTGCTTTATGGGAAGAGGTTTTCCTGTCTCCAGTGGGGACTCAAGGCCTTTGGCATACATCCAGTTATTCTGGGGAACTTCGAGGGAGGGGAAGGAAAGTGTTTATGGTCCTATAGGATACAGGTACCCAAGTCAACATCTTACCAGTTCCCATGGAGTTGGGGGTACCTAGATTTAGTTATTGTCCTCAGGGCAGGGTTCACAGTAGGGAAGGAAAATGAATGTAACCTCAGTAAATGGGCCATTTGCACCAGTGCAATGTACTGTGGTTACTTCTGTATCTGGAAGTATAGTCGAAATTCATGTATCCCTGGCCAGTGTGGCTCAGTTGGTTGAGCATCGTCCCATCCACTGAGAGGTTGCCTGTTCGGTTCCCATTTGGGGCACATGCCTGGATTGTGGGCTCGATCCCCAGTAGGGAGCATTCAGGAGGCAGCTGATCAATGTTACCCTCTCACATTGATGTTTCCCTCTCTCTTCCCCTTTCTCTGAAATCAACAATAATTTTTTTAATTTTTTACAAGAAATTAATGTCATGTGTTATACTCCCCCTTCCCATAAGGTACAGAGAGAATTCTCCCAGTCAGGAAGTGAGATACCTTTGAGGTCCCACAGCCCTTAGTGGGCTTCAACTCTCTGACTGATTTTGTTGACTCAAACTTCCAGCAAAAGGAGGCCCCTTGGGGGTGAGGGGACAGGGTGGTTTGACTTGATGCCCTAGCAAAGCTACCAAGCATACCCCCTTTTTAGGTACCTATTAACTTAGTCTTTAGCTCTCTTACACTGAACGTCTGCCTCTCAGACCTCTAACTTGATTGTGGAGGGTATCATTAGACCAACTAACAAGATGGAAAGGACTTCATGGTATGTTCAAGAATACAGCTCTCCTAGTCCCAGCAGTATCAGCCGTACATGAAATAGTAGCTATCCCTTAGAGAAGAAGTTTATCCCCATGCTGCTGCCTGGAGCAAAGCTGCTGGCTCAGCAGGGCCCTACACCCACAGAGGTTACTCTGAGCAGCCCTTGTTTCCCTGATGGTTTGACCAGTTGAAATCACTCAGAGCCTGTGACTATTCAACCTGTCACTATGCAGACCCAAAACTTGATGTGTTCTCAACTCTAGCCAGCATTCCCTTTGCTCAAACTCGGTGTGTTTTTATTTACTCCTGGGCTCTTACTGTGCCTCCCTGACATGTCAGATGTAACGCACGCCACAGAATGACAAAAGCAGCCCCCTGGTTCTGTGAACTGTGGGGAAAGGCACAGCTGCTGAGCATCATAGCTGGGTTGTTTAACTAGATGCCGTGGTAAGAGACTATTCTCTGACAAAACTGACTGGAATCAAGTTGTTGATGAAGACTTCACTACGCTGATAGCCAGCATTGCTACCTGGATCAACTGTCCTACTGACAGCAAAACATCCACCATCATGCACTGGATACAAAGTAAAGGTCTCTGTTTATCAAGTGCCTCACTTGATGTAATTTGATATTAGAATCTATACTTTATTTTCTTCTGGATTAATAGACAATGTTCAATATACCATTTTATTAATTCACCCCTTTCCTACTGATTTTAAATGTCTTCATATGCTAACTTGTCATTTGTAAAGATATTGCCTGTGGGGCTGCTCATGGCCCATTTCCTACATTCTGTTATACTAGTGTCTCAGTGTATGGATTCGTGCACATTGAAAGGAAATTAATTAGAAGAAATATTTTAATATCTCTATTTGTGTCTTGCTAATAAAAAGAAAATAGGATTCTGCCGAGTCTCCTGTCTACCTACTCCAGGACTTCTGTGAGGATCAAATGAGATGAGGCATGGGAAAATGCTTCACAAACATTTGGTTAAACTATAAAATGTTTGCACCTGGCTATAAAGCAAGTTGGGTTCCTGGGCTGAAGAAACTCCAAGGAGGCTACTCGCTAGGGAGAGGAAGCTGGGTGTTGCTACGTGACCTCATTACCTGGCGCCCACAGACCCTTTACAGGCTGGGCTGGGCTGTGGGCTGCATTTTGTGCCAGGGGGTCTTGGCAGCATTGGCTGCAATTTGGTGGGGTGTCGCTCCAGGGTGGTGGCGGGGCCTGTGTCCCACTTGGGGGAAGCCAAGTGTTAGTTTGTTGGCGCCAGGTCTGTGGTGCCATTTATTTTTAAATGGCCAGTGCATGTCATGGCAGCTCCTGCATTGAGCATCTGCCCCCTGGTGGTCAGTGCGCATCATAGCTACTGGTCAGATGGTTGAACACTTAGCCTTTTATATATATAGATATAGATTAGTAACAGATCCTCCTTTTGTGAACAGGGCTACCTTTTGTGAGCCCAAGTACTCCATCTTTCTGGCCAGATACTGAAGGTTTCACTGAAAGATGCTTGAATCAAGTTTATAGAAGGAGAATACCTCCCAGGAGGTTGGAAATGGAACATCACAGACCCGTTACATGTTACTCTAGAGCAGTGGTCGGCAAATTGCGGCTCGCGAGCCACATGCGGCTCTTTGGCCCCTTGAGTGTGGCTCTTCCACAAAATACCACGTGTGGGCGCTGGGCCACGAAGTTTTAATCGCACTGTACGTGCGCGCCCGCACGTGGTATT